TCTGTTCTTACACTACACTACTTGACAGGTAAATATGTGATCAGAATTTTCGAAATGTATTGAGCAAATACTTCACACAGTGTTCAGATAAACTTCTTTAAAGGGACTTATTGTTTCAAATTTTTACAGAAGTTGTTGAACTGTTAAAAATAAAATAAATTCTTAACGTTGGAACGCCATAGATTTACAATATGACTGTTTTAGTATGCTGAGAACAACTAGTCAACGCTGTTGAAGATGACGACCGTCAAAAATGAAGATCTGTCCAGACCTATGGCTTACACAAAGAAATAATTGAGTAGATATTTGGAAAAACAACTATAGAAAGTACAGCATTTCAGCTTAGAGTATACAATATCCAGGAGTGTAAATTTCAAAGTTTAAATTAAGCTGCGAAACATGCTCATTGAGTCATGGAGAAAAGATAATTCAGCGAAGAAAATCTTCTTTTTCGATGACATCATTTCCTAAAGCTCTACAATCGTATTTATATACATCATAAACATACAACATACCAATGTCCCAATCACGGAAACTATCTGCTTTCTACGTGAGTTCATTGAAGATAATAATTTTCAAGTGGGTATCCCTAAGCACTATTTAAAGGAATTGCTTCTAAGATATGCTTTCAGTGTGCAGTTCAAATTCAACAATGATTTATATAGACAAAAGGATGGGGTTGTTTTGGGGTCGCCACTTGGACCGTTGCTGGCTGATTGCTTTTTGGCGAAGCTAGAGAATAGTGTGCTGCATTCAACAATTGATAGTTTCTGCCTATATCAAAGATATATGGATGACATATTCATCATAATCGATCAAAATACAGATATTGAGACTGTAGTTAACACGTTCAATGATTGTCACCCATCGATCAGCTTCACATCATAGGAAGCCTACTTGGAACGGACAATATTTGAATTTCCACAGCTGGATGCCTCTCAGCAGAAAGAGGAATCTAATCCATTCTTTATCTTCAAGAATCGAAAGAATCTGCACGAGTGATACTATTGACGAAGAATTAGATAAACTGCGGAAGATCCTCATGCAAAATAGATATCCATCCACATTTATCGATAAGAACTTGAAAGTAAATCAGAGTGTGGAGTGAGTACTCACAGTTCCTAAGAAGACCTTGTTTATGCAAGCTGTTTTCAAAGGCGATACAGCAGCAGAGATCCTGAAGAATCGGTTGTCCAGATCACTGAAGAAGACATTCTTCTTTGCAAAACTGCTGATCAGCTTCTCTAGTCAACAACTCATTCCAGAGTGCGTTGAGGACAAGTTGCTACTTTGGGCCACCTCGATGTATATCTTCAAATTAACCTCTTTTAAAGTGCAATTGAAAGCTGAGTGACGCATTTGAAGCTTGCACCATATCGTGAGCTTAGAAGACGCATAAGTGAACAATATTGTTTTCAACTAGCTCTCATCTGGCTCTACATTAATATACATAAATTTTCTCATATATGGGATATTAAAATGATGAAAGAGATAGAGAAAAGGAAGGAGATGAAAGCTGAATTTATCTTTAAAGACATTTATTTAGTTTCCCCTGGCTGAACTAGAGATAAGGCTTATACAAAAGTCTTCTGCACGCAAAGACTAGAGTTGTTTTCTCTAATTCCCATAGCCTCACTTATATGTAATATGCGAGTTTAAATTCAACTGGAAAGATTTTGTGGAATATAATAGATGATTTCAAACCCTTTGGTCTTTCTTGTCTATTACATGATCATTGTCGACTAAATGTGACAGAACTGAACTTCGTATTGATTTCACTTTTCACTTTCCTAGCTATGACGGTAGGTTCTCAGTAACACGTTTGTTAAGCTGTCTAGTTGTAGGTTCTGTATTACTTTCTTCACAGGAGCAGCTGGACTCATAAATACATATAGATATGATAGAATAGGGCAGCTTCTCTTCCATCTGAGCTAAAACTATCTGTCAATTAGAAAATGATAAGTATAGGCTAGCAGCATAGAAAGTTTTTCTGATGGCTGTAGATAACCTTTGGAATAAAATTTTCCTATCTGCGACTTGTTTAAATTGAACCTTTGTGGATAATGATTTCTTCTAAACAGTCATTTGTTAAGATTTCTCACTTCTGTTGATAAAACTATAAGGGTAACCCATTTCCAGGAGCAGATTATGAATGTCTTCCACATCATTTTGTATCAAATCATAGAAGGAAATCCTTCTACCTTTGGTTGCGAGACACTTAATCCTGAGGTAGAAAATAAACAAGTAGAATTACTTATGTTGGATTGCAGGATAAAACAAACGACTACTATAACCATCTACAGTAAACCAACACATCCTAACAAGTGTCCGGATTTCAAATCGTCTCATCCAGTGTCAGTTAAGGCAGGCTTAGTCAAATGTCTTAATGACAGAGCCAGAAAACTGCCTAGTCAGTGGAAGGACTTAAACAAGGGATTGAAACACGTAAAAAAAGCACTAATAGTTAATAATTATCCTCCGCAGTTTGTTAACAAATTCATACGAACACATAAGAAACGAAATAATAACAGTAACACGAGTAGAAGAGAGTTCACAGCCCCCGATGTGTTACCACATGAGGAAGGTACATCAGAAACTTTACGTAGGATCCTCAACAAGGCTGAAATTAAGGTGTCATTTAAACCCTTGATGAATCTTAGCTTTCAAACCAACCTAGAAGTACTATTATTTCCACTGTAATGGTTCTAAATGACAGAAGATAATAGAAGTGAGGAGAAAATTTATTTCCTACGAAACCACTCCTATAGCCGTATATTCATGAATAGTAGAAAGGGTAGAACACTTGAGAGTCATTTCCAAACGAACGTCAACACAAATTAAGTGGTAAAGGTATTCAAAAATGAGGAAATAAGCAAAATGACTACCGGAATTATTCAGAGTGATGTATGACCAAAGAGGAATGTTTCAAAGAAAGTAATTCTACATATTACTTTTGAAGGTATAATGATGATTTGAACTTTCCAATCGTTATTGCTTCAGCTATGCCGAAATGTTTTAGCCTCACTCATTTTTAGCGGCTTGGTCGTAATTTGCACAAACTTTTGAGGCAGTTATCAAAGAGAGCCGAATATGTTGAGTTTTCATCCTATCATCCAAATGAACATAAGACCAGGCATTACTGGTTTTTCTTGTCCCGCGGACCCAAACCACCCAGTCTTCATCGCCTCACATGGCTCAAACCAACAGTCACAGACTTCATACATTGATGCCATGTTTTAGTCTGGCCACCTCGAGTTTTTTTTTCTATTCTGAACCTACTTCGGAACATCATTGTTTGACGAGGCAGATGGCGACTAGGCATGCGCAACATATGTCGGAGCCAACTATCTCAGTCGATGAAGGTTCACAGCCTCGTCAACTGATTTACCTCTTCTCCCTAAAACTCCACATGTGGGCCTGACTTCTGCATTACTCACGTGGTGACACCCCGAAATACATCCTGTACTACGAAAGCAACGGTGGTCGAACACCTGAAGCCAGCCTTCTCATGTCTTCCACCATCAGTGGCCATGTTTCACATCCATGCAGTAGAGCAGAACGGACTGCTCTGCAGTACACAAGACCCTTCATAGACAACCGGTTGTCACGGCAGCGCCACAGGTGGCGTAAGTTGGCAAAAGTCAGTCGAGCCCTCTGTATCCGTGCATAGATTTCATCGGCCACCGAGCCACCAGGGCTGATCCCAATTCCGACACACAACCACTACACTCTCTATTGTTAGCCGCTGTAGGGCACTATTGAAGATCAATCCTGGAGCAATAATTTGCACTTCGTTGATGAGAAATGCATCCCAGAAGACTCTGACTCTCATCAGTCAGCGTTTTCACCTAACAGGACTATGTTATCTGCATATTCGAGATCTAAAGAAAATTCTCCGGCGATTGGGTTAGCCTCTGTGCAGTCAGGTGACGAGAGCGAGACCTCCATAAGAATATCTATAACAAAATTGAATGAGAATGAAGAGTTTACTGAATGTTCTATTGCAAATCTGTCGATCCATTTCTGTTCTCTTTTCGCCAATCAAGCTGGGTGGTGTTCGTGACCGGATGACATAAACTGGCTCATGGTACTGCAGACGTACTCGATTCCATAGGAGCAAGTAAACTGATATATATATATATATATATATATATATATATATATATATATCAGCTTATCCTTTGAGCATTAAAGTGCTGACCTTAGATATCATTTTAGTCTTTAATTTATCCTCTGCTTCTTTACCTCCTTTCTTATTGCCAATCCCCTTCTTTCTGTAACCTTTCATAGGACAAGAATGTTTGTGATCAGATAATGTGCTAAATGTGTTACACAAATATACTACACTACTGAGACAAATTACGTCTTCTTATTGTCTTATCAAAGCTTACAAACGTCACTTGATTTCCAGTCATCTAAATGTTTCCCTGATATTCTAAAAAGACTGGTTAGAGACATTGTCTAACAGACTTATAATTTAAAAATATCCATGTAGTACTGAATGCGACTGATGTAAAAATGGGTAACGATTAAATTATTTTCAATAAAAATCTGAATCGAAGCAGGAGTCGAACTGATGACAAAAGTACACCTGCCTGAAATAGTTTTATTAATGGAAATAAAAAATTTAGTAATACATTCCTATACTGAAGTGATTATGGAAGGTGAAATGAAAGTTTGAACTCCAGTCAGTGTGAATACGAACGAGTGGTAGTAACTTGTCATGAATTCACATAGAAGTCAGGTACAACTTCATCTTGTGATTGAAGTAAACAAAAAATAATACTAATCAGCAGTCGGACCTCGTAGCTCAGTTGGTAGAGCATTGTGCCAGGAATCCGGTTGTCGTTGGTTCGAATCCGGCCACGGTTCAAGTTTTCACTCAAGTATAAATACTGGTCTGTTAAACTATGACAATCTCAGATACGAAATCGTTGAATATACATACCTATTGTTTATTTACTTATTAATTGTTGCTGTTATTGTTATTTTTGTTTCAGTGAAGCAGAGTAATAGTACAAAGGAAAAAGCCATGAGTAAGCTAAAGGATATCTTTTTTGTCTATTCAAGTTTATACAATCTTCACCTGAGTACCTAAATACTGACCGACAGTATAATATACATATAAATTGACGATGGTTTGGTATTCTCTGAGTTTATATACCGTGTGCTGAACTTTTTATCTCCATGCCTGATGAAATCTTCGGTATAATCTTGTTCATTAAGTTAGTGTCAGATTGAAAATATCAAAGCTCAGAGAACATCAGACCACCATTATCTTCATCTTAAGAACTACAAAAGTTTTTTTCATCATTTCAACATGGCTACTACCGTTTACAAATTGATTATGAATAGGCAACTGATAAAGCTGCTTATCATTTACAGTTTAGTGCTGACTGGAGTTTATCACTTACCTACACAAATGTAGCTTAGATGAAAGTAATTTGTGAAATAGCCAAACTTATTTGTGACAATTCATTTAAATAAACCTGATCATCATGGACTCATAGCAGTTGGAAAGCCAAAGAAATCCTACGAGCACCGCACAGATGTTTCGTCCCAGTATGAGACTCCTCAGAAGCGGGGAAAGAGGACTTCCAGGCTTCACAAAGGGCAGGTATCGAATTGTCCACATTTTTCTACTCGCGCCAATCAATCTCCACAACCCTCCAATTTGAATAACTCCTCAGTACTCATTAGTAACTTGTTTTGAGTTTAGTTCTTTTGAAGTAGTAGTGAGAATTCCTGATCGGTGGAGCAAATCAAGTTGAACATAAGAACAGGTATTTCATGGAGGTCCGACTATATCGCCAACTGACAGAGGTCCTAGGTTTGGTCTACGGTGAGGTCAAATGTGTGTACTGCTTAGTCGTCCCACATCGGGGTCAAGGAGGTGTCAGGCGCTCCTAAGTTTTCAGTGGTTCTCCACCAGATGTCATTTCATGAAACATACAATACTGAGGTAGATGAATACTCCGACTACATAAGACAAAAGGAAAACATGAGAAAAGCAGAATTTATCAAATTCATACAGTTTGGGCATGGTTTGAAACTCAAGTAATCTACATACATGGTAGTTGATCGAACATCTGAAAGTTAGAATACACACATTAACAAGGTGAAAAAAATAATTGGTCAGTCTAAGAGGTCATTTTTCAGTCTCGAGAATCCTTGGTAGTTAATGCTGAGACCGTCAATGACAGTTGACCAAAACCCTTGGTGATCGAAGTAAAGTTAAGACCTTGCCATCAGCCGGGTGTCGTAGCTCATTTGGTAGCGTAGTGAGCCATCTAACTAGAAACTACTGTTAGACAGATGTCAAAAGGTGATGAAAAAAACGTTAGAACCCACGGCACCTAGGTCTCATGGTCAGTAAGTTAACATTCAACCACTCGTTCGGATTCCAATGGTTCACACTTTTTTTACTTCTGTCAGTTCACGGTGTAGCGTGATTACCATCAGATATCTTCGGTAGACATGAACTTTACCTCCAGTATGGTCGACCTATAAAGTCCTTTAGATTTCATGAAAATAAACCTCTACCGGTTGGTTGACTGATTCAAGGGTCTAATAGTTTGAACAATCTTGTTAAACACTTTGACAGGTTGAAATCAAATCCAATGTCCACAAGCTATACATTTCGTGGTGAGAATGACGTAACTGGATCAGATTTAATGTGACAGTAGAACTTGGAAGCTGTGGTAATGAATAATTCCATAAGTATGAAATGTGCCTTGTACCATTAAAGTGCAGGTTACTCTTGCAAGATTATCAGGAGCCTTTGCCTGCTGTCACCCACGGCGGTGAGCTGTTGGAAGTACTCAAAAAGTTTGTGTATGTGAGTGCTGGTGGAGATGTGGGTGATGAAATTTCCAAGCGAATACTGAAAGTCAGAGTGGCATATGGCAATCTGGGCAACCTTTGGCACCATCATGACGTTAGTCTGGCAGTAAAAGGTAGGGTTTACAACTTTTCGGTGTGAGCAGTTCTGCTCTGCGCTTGTTAAACTTGGTCTCTTCGAGCTAAGGGTATCCGACGACTCTATGTTTCGGATCATCGTTATCTCCGTAGCATTACTCGTATTCTGTAATAATACCAAGTAAGTAATCCTGAGGTACTACAGTGTGTATTTAGGTATAATGAAGATGGTCATTCAATAAGTGAAGTCATCTAGAAACACCAGCTCTCACGTCTTTCGTTATTTCCCAACCCTGCGGCTGGATTGAAGGAGCGGACATCAGATATATACTACTTCCATCACGCAAGGAGTGGCTATCGTTACTCAGTAACCTTATAAATAACACTCTGCCGTTTAAGAAGATTGGTTCTGAACCCGAGTCTTACTGGGAATGTCATTACTCACTAGGAGGTAGCCACATCCTTCTGACTAGTCCTAGATGAAACAAAACGCGTGTTCTTGGCTCCACTGCTAGTCAGTATGTATTACTTATATTTCCTAACCTATTTAGACCGGAAGAAATATTGAAGCTACGTGGCATCCTGAATAACGATATCAGTCAAACTAACTCTTGACTTATTTTATTCCTTTGACCAGCTGATGAACTGATACCTTGTTCAGATGAACATAAAGATTATTGTCTCAATGGTGGACAGTGCTACACTTACAAAAATGAAAGGGTGTCGTTTCAATGCAGGTTGGTTTTTATTTCTTTCATATTTCAGTAATAAAAAAGAAATTTTCGTTTAAGTTATGCTTGAAATGACCAATTACCTCTATTACTCAAGTTAATCAGCTACTTTGATCAGTAATGGAGCTTTCATAGTCATCTTATTCCTACACGACAGTGTATAGTTCAGTTGGAATGCATTTTTCTGAGATGCTGAAGTTTCCTTGAAAATTTCGGTACTTAATCTTTGTTATTTAAATGATCATTTCAGTAGTATAAAGTATGCTTAGGATTTAAGCAGAAAGGTATGAAGTTTGATTCACATTAGTTATGCCCTAAGTAATTGTGAAACTGAAAGCAACTTTTAAAAACAACGGAAAAGTAATGATCTCCTCTAAGAAGAAAGTCTTTTCCGTCTTCACCAAGGCAGAATTCTTTTATGAAGATCATCTAGATATCCATGTATTAATGTTGAATGAGTAATCCAAATTATTCACTAGCCTACAACCTACTACGGATGAGTTCAATCAGATGATGATGTTCCCACTAAAACCAAGAACTCAATACTCATCTCGTTACACATCATATAATGTTATCCGTCAAGCTACTAAGTCATGAAGACCACTTCTAGTGCAGTGGTTATTAGTTGTTATTCACTGATTCTAGGAATTTCCCATTGACTGGCATATTCAATACCAATCTCAGCGAGAACATCATCACTCGATGGAACACAGGCATATCCAACTGCGGAGTACGTTTTAGATTTCACTATTATCCATAAACAATTATATTATATCATGGTTAATCTTCCAGCAATATCGATACATATGTGTAGGAGTTCATATATCAGAAAGAACTAATCAATTTAGTCGAACCCATAAATTATATAAGGCAATATTTGTAGGATATGGGACTTTCCAGTCTGACTATAAGATTCCTATGGAATAAAAATCAAAACTTTACAAAAGGTTATCAGTTGCTTTTTACTACAACTTAATAAGGCATGTAAGTTGAGTGCTGAAACTAGAAATAGTGGAGAATATTTGTAGCTGAGGTGGATGATCTTGCTTGTATTATGTTCTCTCAAAAATGACCACCTACAAAAACGGAAGAACTTCTTCTTCAAATAGAACTGAATTACAACACAAGAGATGCCTAGAAAACATTAAAAAGACTGAAAAATAGGAAAGATATCATTATACTTCCAGCAGACAAATGACGCACTACAGTAGTCATGGACAAAGAAGACTACATCAAGAAACCAGAGGAATTACTCAAAGACTAAAATGTATATCAACTACTTGAAACCAACTCTATCCAGAAGTTCGACAACCGGATCAATAAAACCTGTAAACAAACTCTTCAAAGCAGAAGAAATAACAAATCAAGACAAATGAAGAATGAAATCGAATGAACTTGTCCTTCCTTGGTTCTACGGCAGACCAAAAATACACAAACCAGACATCCCTCTATGACCAATAGTCTCACTTCCGGGAACTCCAACGTACAACATATCAAGAGAACTTTCGAGAGAACCGAAACACCTCATTCAATCATGCGGACATTCCATCATATCACCAACGGAATTCTTAGAAAAGATCAAAAAAAATTAACAGAGGAAACGACGAATTAATTGTATCCTTCGATATCACAGCACTATACACATCCATGGAACCATAACTGGCCAAGGAAACTATGTCCCATATGCTCACCTACTTTTGTATGACAACATACTTCCAATTCAAAGACAAGATATACAAACAAATGAAAGGAACTCCAATGAGATCACCGATATTCGGACTAATTGCAGAAACGGTGGTGCGAAGACTAGAAGCCATCATCCTACCTGTGATTAAACCGAAGTTCTGTATTCACTATTTGGTCGAGACTTTTGTCATCATTAAAAAAGATAATGTAGAAAATACCCACATTATGATTAACAACGTTTTCAGTAACATCAAATTCACAATGGAGAAGGAGTCGAACAACCAACTACCATTCCTGGATGTTTTTGTCAGCAGGACAGATGTCGGAAAGCTGGAAACCCAAGTGTACAGGAAGCCAACACACACTGACTGGTCAAATCCTCAACTACAATAGTAACAACACACAAGATCAGTTGCGTGCAGACTCCATTCAAAAGAGCGAGAACACACTGCAGCACAACAACACGGAGAAACGAAGAAAATCACTTGATGTCCATCCTAATAAAAAACCGTTACCCACGAAATTTTATCAGAAGATGCCTATCCCATACATCGTCAACTACAAAGTCATTGACAGAAATCAACAAACGCATTATCATACCATACATAAGGAATATTTCAGAAATCACGAAAAGATTACTGAAACCACTTGTAATTGGTGTGGCTGGTCCATAAACCAACAAATTCCCTCCAAACCCAACTGTGCAGACCACAGGATGCAACAAACAAAGAAGACAAGTCGGATATCATTTACAAAATCATCTGGAATAACTTTAGTCAACACTACATTGAACAAAGTGGTCGCCCTCTTCACCTTCGTTTACATGAACACCAGTTGGCTGTTAAACGTCACGACATTTCGTCACTGATTTCAATGCATGTGGATAACAACTATGGAGATGAATTGAATTTTGACAGTGTAGAAATCATGGAGGGAGAGAGGAAACATAAAGAATATGAGAGAATTCCTAGAAGCTTGACATTCAGGTCACTCAGTCAGCAATCAATTGATATGTAGACATACACCTAATCTGCCAACCAATGAGAAAAATAATAAACAACAGAGAGGTCAGAGGTGAAGTAGAGGAACAGCCAACAGGAAAATCTATGCAGTCAGTCAATGAGACAACAAGTAAAGGGAACAACCAATCACAGACCAGTTGGTCAGAGCAACCCATTGAATCACTAATGAAGAGATACTGGCAGCTCATTTCATACTGAAGTTAGTGGTGATGATGTCGTCAATCAAGACGATGTCAGTTCTACAGTAAAACAACCCAGTTCAGAGAACACAATGCAACCAAGACTATTCACCTGAGCTTCAAATATTCCTCACTATTTTGAATAACCTTAACCTGCCTAACTATTCAAATGTTACTAGAAATGTGGAACTCTACTTGGATCCAATTATACAAACATTAGAAATCAATACCTTGAACACAGTAGAGTTGTAAATGACTACTGTAGGCATTCAACTACTTACTAGTGGGTCAGGGGTTCGAAACCCACACCATTTGTCCAGGTACTAGATACCTTTAACCCTCACACGAGTCAATGAATGTGCAGAGAATAAGTGAATTCATTATCATTCTTACTAACTCCATATGAGAAATGTCATAAAAACATCAAGTTGGATTCATCAACCTCTTAACCTATATATTATTACTTTACCTCAATGTAAAATTCATCAAAAGGTGTGCTGATCAATATTTTGGTGATCGTTGCCATTTTCATATTGATGGCTTATTAGGTGAGTATTACTTTTTATATTTATCTAACAGCATTACATTGTACACCACGTTTTCTAACATACACCCAGTTTTACAACTTAATACACATTTACTCATAGTCATAAACATTTGATTGAAATCGCTTTCAGACTAATAGTATAACCTAATCTAGGCTAATTGAATGCATTATCATTATTCAAATGTATATATGATGATTATAATCTGGTTTTTCCTTTTTTTTCTTCTTGTGTATTTTCTCTTCATCTTCTCTTCATTTTTCGCCAATGTCGATCGTCCATCTTCTGCACCTTATCTGAATTTTCACCTGATTACCAATCATATTCCTTCTACTATGTGTATTTATTTAATTCCAAATATCATTGGATAATGGTGTTTAAATGTTAAATTATTGTATGCTACATTCAAATCGCTGCGCTACAATTACTAACAATTTTAACTTTATACAAAATGATTCATTGTTCAGTTGTTATACACCATATTATGGTTCAAAATGTGAACGTGTAGCAGTCGATTTGAATGAATATAAATGTAGGTTTATGCTGTTTTTCTTAAATTATATAACTTTTTTTATTCTATCTGAAGATTTAATAATTGATTTATTAGGCTGAAGTTATCATGGACTGAGATCATTAAACAGCTGCTTTGTCTAAGCATGAGACTCCTCATCAGTTTACACCAATGACCCTACATCGCTATGAATCGAACTGAGGCCCTTAAGGTTCGGTGGTCAGCATGTTACTGTTGACCATTCATTGGTGACTAGCTTCTAGAGGTGACTCCTGAAATTCTATTGCGAAGTCGTGACCGGATTCCAATCCGGTGACTCATTGGTAACGTGAACCTGCAGCTGCTGAGTTTGATCCCTGGCGGGGGAAGGTTATGGGTGCGCACGGCTTTCGGAGTCCTCCCAGGTTTCCAATGTTTCTTCAACTGATATCATTCCATGATGAATTCCAACATGAAAAATCAATATAACTTTTTTTGTTGAGTTTTATTTACATATCATATATTATTTATCCCTTGGGTTCCTAATGGAACACCGCTTCAGTAGCACGTCTCCAGTGAACTCTGTTCTCTGAAAAACTTTTGAACCTGGTTCCACGACAGCCCAGAAGCTCTCATTTCTTCCTCACATGATCTCCTCCATGTCACCCTCACCTCGGACGCCCGACTCATCGCTTCCCATCGGGTTCCACTCGAGCAACTGGCCTGACGCGTGATGTCCCCAATCGATCTTCTCAGTGCATACCCAATTCATCTCCACTTCCTTTTGCATATTTGTTGAGCGATAGGTTCTTGGTTGGTTCGTTGCCAGAGTTCCTGGTTGCTTATTCTTTCTTGCTATCTGAGCTTCAGTAAGGAGCCAGCGTAGGTAGTAGTTGTTGATGAATATCTGTGGCTTGTTGGAAATCCCTTTCGTGACGCGCCAAGTCTCTGAGCCATACAGAAGCACTGACTTGACGTTGGTGTTGAAAATGAATTTTATTTACATTGATGTTAATCTCTTGATAGTACTGATGATAGGATGAGGTATCATCTTAGGTGAAAAAAAGGCTCATCTATACGTTGAATCTGTCTACTTATATTGAAAATTGAATGTCTCTTTAAAAAAGGGTTCATTGATTTTCAAGATACACGTCCACTCCTGTCGACTTAATACTTTGGTGTTTTTCCTCAAAGTCGATCTTTTTTAAAATGACATCTTTATGTCATCTGTCTTAGTGAATGAGTAAGGAGAATAGATTAATAGGCTTTTATCCGCATGAATTGATGAATGAATTGAAGAAAATAAAACGTTGGGTACAAGCTGTGTATGGTGTGAGCGAGAAAGTCGGATCTAAATCCACTCACCGCGCATGTCTATATTCATGTAGTGAGCAATGATGGTGAATGATATTCCTACCTGGTAGCCCAAACCTTGGTAGGTGGGGTAGGGTTCACTCCTGTGACCCTGTGGCTGAAAGTCAACTCCTTAAACTAACGAGCCATAGTTTCATCACTTCATTCCGTTCTCAATTTATCAAGCATACTCAATAAGAGAAAACTTAATGGTATACATTTTGTATGACGTCATCGATTCAAGAAAAGACCAATAGAAATGATTATATGTTGATAGTCGTTAGGCAGAATGTTTTCAGAGTCTTTTAAATAGATATAATTACTGCTAACTTCATGTCTGATATGGTTCATAAATTTACAGATACAAGGGGTATCTTTAATTATGTAAAGAAAATTGAAGGATGTTCAAATACTTGATGCTGGAATGTGTATTCCTACAGTATTTCTCCTTCTGAATGAGATTTATGTGGACTGAATTTCTTCGACTTTTCAGTAAAGCCATCAGTTTATAAAGTGGTGGTTACTGCGCTCTTCATACAAAATAAATTCTTCAGCTAAACTGTTCTGAAAATGCGAAAATAAAGTTACATATAAAAATGTACACGACAAACGTGAAATCATACTAAAAATGATTCCTACTTTTAGAAAAGATTTGTAGCTTATTGTAGCTTGGCGTTCACTGAGCTTTGATATTTCGGGGTGAATTTTACGACAAAAAGTCACCATCGTCCTCCTTTTGAGCTGTAAATCTTTTAAGCGCATCGCGCTTCTCTGTGCTAGGAATTGGGGGGAATTTCACCTGTCGGACAGCAGATTTTCCTCCTACATGAATGTTTACAGCAGATAATCTTGTCGTGGAGTGTTAGATAGAGACCAATCATAAACTTTCCTACTGAGTGGAAGTTTACATAGAAAAGTGGCAGGACGTGGCAAGATATCGAAAAACACTACACCGTCAACAAATGATTTCTACCGAATTATCATCTGACTATCTGTTCATGGTTACTTATATTTTCGTTTACATTGTTCCTTTCAGTGATTTTGAATATCCAATTCACAGCCATTCCAGTTTCTCTCTCTAATGGGACATTATCCCTGGGTTACTACCAGGATGGTAAAAAAGGAATTGTCCCTGGAACCTGTGACTTTATTTTTAGAATTTTCAGACATTAACTACTCAGCAAGAATAGATTAGTATCACTTTCATCTGCAAACTTTTCACCATCTGTCTACAATGAAAAATCTGCCTTCTAATCGGTTTTTTATAATGATAAATCATTTTCGCCTGTTATAATGAATTCAAATTGGCACAAATCAAATTGTTTGCTGTTTTAAACAAAAATCGACCTCTTTCTCATCATCGTAATGATGAAGGGAAATGATATAATAGGTCAACACTAATATATTATTATTCTCTAGGACTTATTACGATAAAAAGAGTCAATTATCTCATCAAAACATCATCAATCGAAGAAACGGGCACTTTGATGATTAATTGAATGAGCTTTAAATTGCCATTAGTAAGCATTCTACAATACTTCATTCCCCTTTTTATCATCGATATTTAAATGCTAACCCCCATGATATTCCTGATTGTGGTCGACTGGATCATGCAGCAAACAGTGGGGAGTGAGAAGAGGGGGATACGCTTGACTGCGGAAAAGAACCTAGAAGACTTGGATTTCGCCAACGATGACTTGTGCATAATGTCACATAAACTTGAAGATCCACAGGCAAAAACTAACAAGTTGATAGAAGAGGCAGCGAAGACGGGACTTCAAGTGAATATAGAGAAGACAGAAGTGATGAAGATACCGCACCAACAACTCCAACAACAACAACAACAACAAACTACAGTCACCATCAATGGGAGTAACCTCCTTCACCTATCTAGGCAGTCAGCATTGTTTCAACTACAGGCAGCACAGATGAGGATGTCAAAGTCAGAATCGGAAAGACAGCAAGACAGGCGTTCATTAGCCTGAAACCAGTGTGGAGATCTTCTACACTCAGCATGTGGAACAAGATACGGATTTTCAACACCAATCTAGTCAAGTCAGTGCTTCTGTTTGATGGTTGAGAGACTTGGCGCGTCACGAAAGGGATTTCCAATAAACTACAGATATTCATCAACAACTGCCATCTACGCTGGCTTGCTACTGAAGATCAGATGGGATGGCCAGGATAACAGGAATAAGCAACAAGGAGCTCTGGGAACGAACCAACCAAGAACCTATCACTCAAAAAATATGCAGTGGAAGGAAGTGGAGATGGATTGGTCATACACTGAGAAGGCCGACTGAGGACATCACGCGTCAGGCCAGTTGCTCGAGTGGAATCCCCATGGAAAGCGACGAGTTGGGCGTAGCAGATGAGTGTGGCATGGAGGAGATCGTGCGAGGAGGAAATGAGAGCTTCTGGGCTGTTGCGGAACCAGGTTCAAAAGTTTTCAGAGAACAGAGTTCACTGGAGACGTGCTACTGAAGCGGTGTTCCATTGGGAACCCAATGGACAAATAATAATAAAGTCTTTCACTGGTTGATGATCTTTGAAATACATGTCGACAAGAGGTAAATTCGTATTGTCCTTGATATAACCTGATATATGAATGTACTCACGCGGATGATTACCTCAGATTCTCTATTGATTTTACTTCTTCAACTAACCAGATGTTCACATGTATGATCACGTGTCTTTAGCTGAAATTTAAGAGTATACTGATTTGTTGCAAAGGATTTTGGGTGATGTTGAACTTATCTGAATCATTTGGACAATCATTGTCTTGTTGCTTTGGATGAATATTCATTTCTAAGAGATAATATCATAAAGATCTGTTGAACACAGTTGAAGATGCCACTGTTGATCAACGCAGGCTAACAAATAGGATGTCAGTTCTAAGGTAAAACAACCCAGTTCAGAAAACACAATACAAACAAGTTAGGGGTAAGTTTATTGGTTTCAGTACATCAGGATTGACAGTCACACTAATTTTCATCTGATTCATTTTAAAAAGTAATGATTAGTAATCTGAAAAGCCTTTTGTTATAAATCTCTTTATTGGGAAGTTTTCCAGAGGGAATGAACTTCCTCAGAACCATTGATGTACCTTTTCACCTCATTCAAAAGAGTATGTGAAATTATTACGAGTAAAATGTGACAA